AGTAGTAGTAGTAGTAGTAGTAGTAGTAGTAGTAGTAGTAGTAGTAGTAGTAGTAGTAGGGAGGGAAAGAGGGGGAAGGAGGGAGGGGAAGAAGGAGGAAATGAGCGAAAGAAGGAGGATGAGGAGTGCCGTGCAATGGGGAAGAGGAGGGAGGCGATGGAGCGGGGAGGATTCCCGAGGAGCGCCGAGGAGTGCAATGGCATGGGGAGGGACGGAGAGAGGAGACAGGAGGGAGGAGGGTGGATGAAAGAGGGAGAGCGAGGGAGGAATTATGAGGAGGCAGGAGGAGGAGTGCCATGGAATGGGGAGGCGGAGCGAGTAGTGCGATGGAGTGGGGAGGACTCCAGAGGAGTGGCGAGGAACGCCGAAAAGCAAGATGGAGGGAGTTTCGAGGAGTGGGGAGGGATGCCGAGGAGTGCGGTGAAGTGCGGAAAGGTACACAGGAGTGGGGAGGAGTGCGGAGAGGAGGGAGGAATGAAGTGAAGTGCGGAGCGGTGCCCAGGAGTGCGATGGAATGCGGATGAATGGGAGGCTCTGGAGGGCTCCTTGGAGGCCTCTGGAGGCCTCGGAAAGCCCAAGAGGCTCTTCGGCTGCTCCAAGAGGCTCTCCGGAGAGCCCAAGAGGCTCTTCGGGGGCTCCAAGAGGCACTTCGGCGGCCCCCAGAGGCTCTTCCGAGAGGCTCTTCAGTGAAGGGGGGGGGGGGGAAGGCGGCTCTTGGGAGACTCCCCCCCCCTTCACCGTACTCGTTGATTAATACCCTCCAGAGGAACCCTGGCCATACTAACACCCACCGGGCCGCACTAACAACCAACGGGCCACAATAACACCTTATCTTAGGGAGGGGGGGGGGGCTCGAACTGGTAGTGACCCGCCCCCTGGTGGGGAGGGGTTAGGGGGGGAGGTTGCGGGGTAAGGAAAGGTGGGGGGTTCGAGCAGGGGGTGGGGGGGATTTTCGGAGGGGGGGGGGAACCCAGGTTCCGGAGGAAGAGTGGGGGGGGAGAATTTTCCACAGTAAAGCGGCGGTGGATCATGCTCTCTCCTATATTCAGATCTGGCCCAAAACCTTCAAACTTGACACAACGTTCAGATCGATGTGGCCTCTCAAGGTCTTGCTGGGCGAACTTAAAGAGTCGTTGCTACGTTTTGAAATGCCTTGCAGCCGTCACGGTGTATATTCGCATATATTTATATTCACAAGACTGCAATGGCGCTTCGCGTCATGCACATTGGTCCTTGAAGTTTGGCACGCAGGCGGAATGGCAGGAAGGTCAAGCCGACAATTCAGCGATAACTCTTTGTTGCCTTTTCCGGCATCTCCGTTATAATAATGTTATTCGTTGACATTTATCCATGTTTCTTTTTCTCCACTATCGCCATACCTTGCGCATTCTAACCATCCTCCTCAGCTCTTTTTGCGGAGGTTCCTCCTTGGAGAGCCTCCAGGGGCCTCACAAAAGTGTTTCAGGCTTTCTTAAATATAAGGCCTTCTGGAGGCCTCCTGGGCGTCTTCTGGGGGCCTCTGGGCGCTTCCTCGGGCCACCCTGCCTCCGACCGCGGTCTCCCTGAACGACCGGGTCACGATTTGGAATGCTTCGGAGGGTGTCGTGGGGCCATCTTGAGCCGCCATGGGGCTCTCGTAGGGCCATCTCGGACCCCTGTTGTGCCGTTTTGGGGCTCTCTTGGCCTGCCTGGAAGCCCTTTCAGATGGTTGTGGGGCGATTTTGGAGCCCCCAGGCGGCTTCGGACGCTGAGAAGACCGCCGTCTTGGAGCGCCGGGAAGCCGAAAAGAGGAGAACCCCAAAATTCACCAAAAACTTACAAAAATCGATGAATGTTGCGTCTTGGGGCCTTCTTGAGAGTGCTTTTGGAGGCCTCTTGGGACGTTTTGGGAGCCTCCCGCTGGCCCGTTGCCAAGGCTTCGCATGGACGTCAGGGACGTCCAGAGGCCTTGAAGTCTCGTGGGACCTTTGGGAAGGGTGTCCAGGGGCCGCAGGCACGAAACAGATGAGGGAATCCAGGGAGTCCGGGGCTTCCAAATTGGGGGTTCCAGGGAGTCCGGTCTCCCGGGTGGGGAGGGTTCCCACCCCCCCGGATTCCAAAAGTATAGAAGAGGGAGTATACATACATATACGTATGCGTATACATATACACATCCACATATACACACAGATCTATGTATATATACTTATGTATATGTGTCTATAAATATACATATACATATATGTGTTGCCTATGTGCCTAGTGGCTTCTTCCTTGCCCGCATGCCTGTCTGCTGGCTTGTTGCTCCGTTTTTAGTTGAGACCGTCTCTCCCCATTCGATCTTGGTGTGTGCACATCTCCGTCGTTCACACAGTCTCCAGCCCTTCTCTGGATAGCCTCGCCCTTTGTGATGAATTCTCGCCTCCTCACCATCGCAGGAGAAGGCTGGATGCTGCAAGCCCATGGCATCATGCGCTAAGTTCTTCAACGACTGCCCGGTGGGCCACATGCTCAAGCTGTCCTCTCTCCATGCTCATTGCAGGCCGTCCAGGGGGCCGGATCTGGGAGCAAGCAGGGGTCATAAGGTTGATGGTTGCCACGCCTGCCCACGGAAAGGCAGGGTTGTGAACGCCACCAGACTTGGCAGCAGCATTGGAAGACTTGCACAAATTGTAAAGCGGGGGGCCCGAACAAGGGGGTGCAGGGAGGGGGGAGGGCTTCTTAGAGGGAGGCTGCTTCTTAGAAGGCGCTGGCCCTACATCTATAGACAGTGCCCGCGCCTTCTAAGAAGTTAGGGGTTCTTCTAAGAAGCCCTCCCCCCCTCCTCCCACCCCCCTCTGCGCGTGGCTGATCCAGTCCTCTATCCCCCCGCCCAATCCGAGAGAGAGAGAGGGGGGAGGGAGAGGAGAAGAAGAAGGATTGTGGAGGGAGGTAGGGCACATTTCGGTCCGATCGATATCCGATTCGATATCGATTTCGGCCAGCTCGACGAGATTCGATTCAGAATTTCCGACGATCCGATGCAGCCCGATGATCTTACGTGGCGTTGTTGCGCACCTTGGCGCGGAAGATCCGATTCGATTTCGACTCCGTGCCCGTGCAGCCCGATTCGAGACATATTCAAGCTTGATCAGATTTCCCGATTCGATGCTGACTGATGTTGGGGAGAGGGGAAGGGGAGCATCCCTTCAGAGTCATGAGCCCGCTGTGGTCGCCCTGCCGGCCCCATCCTTCTCTACGGCCCGGCCATTCGCCAGAGGCATTTGCGGTTGCGACCGAGGCTCCAGTCACAGAAGACGGGATTTTCTTGTCATTCAGGCGGCGGCTCTTTCGGCGGAGGCTCGGCGGAAGGCGCGGGAGCAAAAGTGATGGCAACGTTTTTGAGTCCAGCATTTCCAGAGTCCGCCATGCGATGAATGATTGAGGCATCCTGGAATTGCTCTGGGGTACTGCTAACTCCATGTTCGTCCGCCCTTCAGTGCGAAGAACTCTTCAGAGTGATTTCTGGATGTCCCGACTGTTCACCATCTTGGTTCGCCAAGCTACTTTGTCCTTTTCCTCCTCCTCCTCATCCTCCTCCTCCTCCTCCTGATCGCCATCGTTCCCCCGACAGCCCGGCCCCAGGGATGAGGAGTGCGACGAGTCGGACTCCAACACTTGTTGCAGCCCGATCCCAGGCATCACAGGCCGCGGGGGCTCAGCGGGGGATGAGGAGGAGGAGAAGGAGGAGAAGGAGGAGGAGAAGGAGGAGGACGGCGACGACGACGATTGCGACGATGACGTCGAAGTATAGGAAAAAGAGGAGGAGGAAGAGGCGAAGCCTGCAACTCGTGGCAGAACATCCCTCCCTCGCTCTGCTCCTGCTGGTCCACCTCAGCTTTATCCTCATGCTACTCTTCCGTGGCCATCCGGGGTCGAGCCACTGATGGTCGCGATACTTTGTTTCCCCCTGCCAAGGCCTCCTCACGCGACCCGTTGCGTTTCTGCGCTTGGCGACCAGTGTTTTGCGACCAGCAGGCGTCGCCCACTCACGCGTAAAGTGGTCCGGTTGCTTCTATCATGTTCGAGACGTTGCTGACGACGGGCCGCATGTAGGGGGTGTCTTCAACAATGGCTCAAGCAGCACAGCCTCAGCTTCGACGATAATTATCCATACAGTAGCGGCCAAGCAATCCGAGACGGCAGGAAATTTGTTGATGGCGAGTTAGTGAGCGTGTCCGGCCTCGGCCCGAAGCATTATACAGCGAGGTTGGCTTGGTCATCGGTCGTGCCTGCAGTGGTTCTCTGGTGCAGCTCGGCACGCAGATTGGGGCCAATGCCATCCGCCCTGCGTCTCCACGTCTCGGGCTGCCGTGGCGGCTGCGCTGCGAGGTAATAACAGCGACCCCGGAAATATGCCGGTGACTCCGAGGATGAGGGGCCGATTGGGGGTGCGGTCGATCCCGACAGTGGGCTCGCAGTTGTGTGTGTGTGTTGGTCTCCACGTTGTCCTGCAGGTACTCATAGCAAGTTCCGACCGACTTGTTCATTCTTGACAGAGAATGCATCTAGTTCCTCGTCGTCCTCCTCCTCAGCAGCAGCAGCATTCGCATCCCTCTCCTCCGCTTCCTCTTCCCGCTCCTGTTCTTTCCCTCCTTCTCATCCTATTCCACTCATCCTCCTTCTCCTCATCATACTTCTCCTCCTCCTCCTCTTCATCCTCCTCCTCTTCCTCCTCCTCCTCTTCCTCCTCCACCTCCACCCTCGCATCCCCCTCCTCTCCGTCCCTCTCCTTCTCATCCCAGTATCCTCTTCCTCGTTTTGGCGGCGCAGATAAGCCCCCTCCTCCTCCTCCTCCTCCTCCTCCTCCTCCTCCTCCTCCTCCTCCTCCTCCTCCTCCTCCTTTCCTCCTCCTCCTCCTCCTCCTCCTCCTCCTCCTCCTCCTCCTCCTCCTCCTCCTCCTCCTCCTCCTCCTCCTCCTCCGCCCGCCATCATCTGCCTCATCCGCACGCTGCGGAGCGCGACGCCCTCGCGGCACCCAGGGCCCGTGTGACCGATGCGAGCGAACCTCGCCGGCAGGGGCGCCGGGCCCCGAGAGCTGGGCCGGGGGCTTGCCGCCTCGGCCTCCCGCCTCCGCATGGCCCGCGGCCCGCCTCCGCCCCGCGGGCGCTCTCTCCGCGCGGCCACGGCCACCCCGCGGGCTTGCCGTGCAGAGCCTGCGGCAGGCCAGCCGCCGCCCCACCACGGCCACGGCCACGGCCACGGCCACGGCCACGGCCACGGCCACGGCCACGGCCACGGCCACGGCCACGGCCCGGCCACGGCCACGACCACGGCCACGGCCACGGCCACGGCCACGGCCACGGCCACGGCCACGGCCCGCGGTACCGCTCCCTCAGGCGTGCCGCTGCCGGGAGGCAGGCCAAGGGAGCGACCGAAGGACGACGGCGACCAGGATCGCTTTCGAAGGCGACGACGACGACGACGACGACGACGACGACGACGACGACAACTCGCCGCCGCGCCCGCGCGCCCCGATCGCGGGAAGCTCTGCCCACTCCCAGCGGCCCTCCAGGCGGGAGCGGCCAGCCCGGCAGGAGCGGGGTTGTGTTCGGCGCCACGCCGCGTCCGCGCGCCACTTGCGCGCGCCCGAGGGCCGCGGCGCTCCGTTCTCTGGCCGCGCCAAGGCGCCCTCGCGACTGGCCCCTCAGGGCGTCTGCTGGGAGCGAAGAAGACGACCTGCTTGCCGCGTTGTGCACCAGGGCGCGGCGCACCACTGTTCGAAGCTGGCGTCGCCAATACAATATGGGCAAGGACACAGCAATTGCGCAATGCGGGAAGACGGCCGAAGTGATCCGAGTCCTGCCCTTTGAATTACACTATGTATCGGGGGGGAGGCCTCGAGAGTTCGAGTTGCGGGAATTGGCCTAACCGTCCTGCGTTGCCAGCAATGCCAAAATGTCCAGCGTACACTTCCGCTGAACCGCGCAGCGGATGCGACCCCAGAGCTGGCGATGTCAACATGGTGCCCGTCGGGGAGAGTAGAAAGGAAACAGGCTCGGGTGAACGACAACGCAGAGATTTCATAATCTTCCACATTGCAGGGTAAAGTGCACACCGACGCTTCTGACACTAACCCACCCCGCATGACATTCTGGGCCACCCGACGGCCTGGCAACCCTGCACCCAGCTTTTCCACCCGAGTTCTTTTAGAGTGCACGAAAACTTCATCGCCGCAGCGTTCGCCAGACACGGTCTACCCAAACTCAAAGACGGGGAGGAGGGCGGTCAGGAGCTGGAGTTGGTCCATGGAAACGACGTCTCGCCTTTCCGGGCGTTTCGTTTTACACTAAGCGCCCATATGTTGGCCGACGGCATGCATTTCGATAGCTAAACCGCATCGACCCACTTGCCATGATTAGTTGATAAAACATAACGTACATACTTCGCTCCCCTCGCTTACCCGCCAAGACAGACTAAGCCAACGCACGCGGTTCTTGGAATCTTGCCTGGAAACCATGTGGTCCGCCCAGGCCCGCAGGGCTTCCCCAGCATCTAGGGGACTCAGGGATATCCTGGGTTCTACTTCCTGGGCTTCCTTGTCAGTGCGTATTGATTTCCAAGCGTTGGTGCTGAACGCGAGGCGGCATTGAAAGATAGAAGGAGATGAACTCAATCGGAAGTGGATTGACGGGAGGGTCTGCTGCTAGGAGGCATGTAAGCACTCGCAAGTTGTCCTTCCTGTCCTCTATCATATCCCCTCCTTACGTCCTCCTTCCTTACCTCCCCCATTCCGTATCCGCTCTCTCTTCCTCCTCCCCACTCCTCCCTCCTCGTGCCCCATGCCTACCTCATCCCTCTGTCTATCTTCAACGCTTCGCGGCAGCACGTCCGGGCAGACTGCCGGCTGAGGTTTCTGGGGCGGGCGTTTGCATTGCGTCTGGATCCCGATTCACAGGCGCTGCGCTGCGCTGCTGGCCCTGCCGTTAGCGCCCGTCAGGGTCTCTTGTGGGCCCTTTTGAGCCTCTCTCTCTCTCGGGGCTATCCTGGGTGCCTCCGAGAGACTGTGGGGACCAACCTCGGCCGACACGCTTGGAAGGCCAGTCGCACTCAGACATTGGACGTGTCTCAACGGGTTGGGCAGTCATCGCGAGGGCAGCCTTGGGACGTCTGTGGGTTGGGTGGGGTATCTGCGGCACCTCCGGGGTGCTCTTCTGGCGTCGTGCCCGTGCTCTCTCTACGCCGCGCCTCGGGCCGTCGTGTCCGAGGCTGTCTTGAAGTAGCTTAAATCGGGCATGTCCCTCTACAGGAAGAATATTCACAAATAGTCAAAAAAGTAGCCTGGGGACGATTTGTCTATTATTTTTGAATGTATCATTTCCGCCCAAAATCCGCCTGTAGGAGGACACGCCCGACCTGAACGTAGCTTTCTGGCCGAAGCGCTTGGAGAGCGAGCAGCACTGTGAACAGCTCAAGATGGTTCGTTCATCTTGGCTGCCTGGGACCTCTCTGGACCTCCTGGTGGGGGCCGTTCCGAGGGCCACGTGGGCGCCTCTTGGCGGCAGCCTGGCGCTCCTGGGCCGCCTGGCCAACGCCTGGTGCTCCTTGGCGCCTGTGGGAGCAATCCTGGGACATCCTGGGGGGGGGGTATCCTGGGAGCGTGTTGAACCACGTCGGGCGATGGCGGGGCCATCTTGGGGCTTCTGGGGGCCCCCTCCTGGAGCCCGCTCGGTGATCTTTCGGCGCTCGTCTGGGGCCTCTTGGCGCACTCTGGGAGGCCTCTTGGGTACTTCCTGGAGGCGTCTTGGGTCCGTGGTCTTCTGGAGGTGCCCCTACGCGAACATTGTGGCAACTCGGGGTGACCATGGGGTTCAGAGAATCACCTTTGGGTTGCTTTTTGTTCGACCTCGAGGGGCCCCTTAACAGTAGCAGGCAGCAGAAGGGCGACAAGATTGTAAATGCAGGTGACAACAGATAGGACAAGATACCCAAGCCAAGAGAGGCCAGCAAGACAGCAGCATTCATGCACTTCACAGCTTTGCACCCCCACCTGCAAACCATGTTTGCATTCATCCGTCCAGCCTCCTCCTTTTGGTCCAACCATCCACGCAGCCAGTTAAACAGTCATCCCCCCCGTCTTGTCCCATCCCCCCTCTCCCCATCCTGCTCTCGCAGCAGCTCCTTCACCTCTTCCGCCGCCGCCAGGGGCATCGATTTCGCATTCGTCTGGCATAGAGAGCGCAGAGGTGCTGGAATACTTGCAGGACAACCCCGACTCTATTCGCAAGGCTGGCGACCCCCCCCTCAGCAGGCACAGACAGCGACGGAGCGGCCACGAGCAAGCGATCGGGCATTCGACGTCCCGGCGATTGTCGGGGAACCTCGTGATTCGGAGGGTTGGCCTGGGCTTCTGGAGCTGAAGGATGCGAGGTTTCGCCGACTGACTTGTGACCGAGAACCGACTGGGGCGCTGCAGGGCGAGGAGCGGCATGCATTCGGACCTTGCCCCCTCCAAAAAGATCAGCTTGCCGAAGGACCCAGCCATATGCAGCTGTGAGTACCGCAGTCGTGAGTATCGTCTTCGGTGGTTTTCCCTATGAGGCCACGAAACGTGTGAGTGGTGTGCCCAGATGGGGCGGCGCCGCCATGCGAATCTTGCCATTGGGACCTTCGGTGGAGCTCCCTTTGGGACCACGAAACGTGTGAGGAGTGTGCCAAAAATGGGGCGGCGCCGCCATGCGAACCCTGCCATTAGGGCCTTCGGCGGAGCCCCTCATGGGACCACGAAACGTGTGAGGGGTGTGCCAAAACTGAGGTGGCACCGCCATGCGAACCCTGCCGCTGGGAACTTCGGTGGAGCTCCTTATGGGGCCACGAAACGTGTGAGGAGTGTGCCAAGATGGACCGGCGCCGCCATGCGAACACTGCCATTGGGGCCGTCCGTGGAGCGCCCTGTGGGACCACGAAACGTGTGAGGGGTGTGCCACCATGGGGCGGCGCCGCCATGCGAACCCTGCCACAGGGGCCTTCGGTGGAGCCCCCTATGGGACCACGAAACGTGTGAGGGGTTTGCCAGAATGGGGCGGGCGCCATGCGAATCCTGCCACTGGGGCCTTCCGTGGAGCTCCCTTTGGGACCACGAAGCTTGAGGAGGGTGTGCCAAAATGGGGCGGCTCCGCCATGCAAACCTTGCAACTGGGGCCTTCAGTGGAGCTCCCTATGGGGCCACGAAACGTGTGAGGGGTGTACCAAAGCCTCGCCGCCATGCGAACCTTACCACTGGGAACTTCCGTGGAGCTCCCTATCGGTCCACGAAACGTGTGAGGGGCATGCCGAAACAGATAATGATGATGATGACGATGACGATGACGATGACGATGATGATGATGATGATGATGATGATGATGATGATGATGATGATGATGATGATGATGATGATGATGATGATGATATGATGACGATGATGATGACGATGACGATGACGATGATGATGATGGTGATGATGATGATGATGGTGGTGATGACGATGATGATGATGATGGTGGTGATGATGATGATGGTGATGATGATGGTGATGATGATGATGAGGGTGTGCCACAATGGGGCGGCGCCGTCATTCGAAACCTGCAACTGGAGCCTTCGGTGGAGCCCCCTTTATGGGGCCACGAAACGTGTGAGAGGTGTGCCAAAATGGGGCGGCGCCGCCATGCGAACCTTGCCACTGAGACCTTCGGTGGAGCTCCTTACGGGGCCACGAAACGTGTGAGGGGCATGCCGAAACGGGTGATGATGATGATGATGATGATGATGATGATGATGATGATGATGATGATGATGATGATGATGATGATGATGATGGTATGATGATGAGGATGAGGATGATAATGATGATGGTGGTGGTGGTGATGATGATGACGACGATGATTACGATGGTGATGGAGATGACTATAATGAGAATCACGATGATGATGATGATGACGATGGTGTTGCGATGATGGTGATGATGATGGTAATGATGATGATGATGGTGATGATGGTGATGATGACGATGACGATGATGGTGATAGTGATGCTGATGGTGATGATGGTGATGGTTATTGTGATGGTGATGATGACGATGATGATGGGGGTGATGATGATGGTGATGGTGGATAATGATGATGATGGTGATGATGATGCTGCTGATGGTGATGATGATGGGAGGAAGGAGGAGGGAGAGGAAGGAGGCCAGAGAAGGAGGAGAACGCGGGTCGCTGTCTCATCAAAACGAGGACCCACCACCACAGCATGGTTGGGAAAGACACAGAGCGAGGGATTGGTGTGGCGAACTCCCACATGCAGGTCGACTTCCAGGAAGCACGTGGAGACATCTTGTCGGTCAGGCCGAGAAGCGCCATCCTAGACTGCCCATTGATAGCTTCGGAACCCCTGCCTTGGACTGCCCTCAGTGCGCGAACCTCCGCGACTAGGCAAAGGAGGACGTCCGCCAATGGCAGCTGCTCGCTAGATCAGATTCGGTTTTGGATGGTGCCGCGCCCATGTTCATCTGAGGGATTTCGCCAGCCCTGACTCGGAACATGGAGGGGCTGACGATTGCTGTGGCGTGCCCACATCCATCGTCGAAATCAAACGCAAGTTATTCTCGCGACGTGACGGCGCCCCAAGACCCCAAATGCTCGAGATTCGCGCCGAAACTGGCGATTGTAAACATACAAATCTAACCCGCGGGCCGCTCTTCGCGCGTCAATCAACATAAAAATACTTGCCCTTGCTTTCGAGAAATCAAGCCAAGGGGACCCCCCCCCTCCCCGAGCAATCGTTGCCCCCCCCCCCCTCCGCAGTTCCTGTTAGAACCGATTTTGGGGCTGTGATGAAAGCCTTGATGTTGGGGCCACCTGGGCCTTTCTGGAACTCCAAGAAGGCCCCGTGGCAAGTAGGTCGGCGGCACCTTTTGGGCCAATGGAACCTTACAAGTGGTTGCAGGAACGGCGAGACAGTGTGGAACTTGTTTGTCGTGCTGCTGCCCGCAGGCAGGGCGCCATCGCGCCCGTTCCGGGGGATCCGGGTGGCGGAGAAAGTCAAGCACAGTGCGGCACGAGTCCCGGGCCAGGGGCGGCGCAAACAGCACGGCACGGCAGTGCGAGGTCAATTCGGGGGCGGCCAAGAGGGGGGTGATCCGCACGCTGTTCGAGTATGTGGTGAGGATGGAGTTCACGTGCTTTCTGATCGACCAGTCTTTCGCGCTCGCCTGAGCCGCGCCGACGCGCCTCAAGGCTTATGGTTCACCTTTCCTTTCCTTCCCAAGAGGGGGGTGATGACTAAGGGGGCGGGCATCATGGCGGGAGCCGTGGTATCTCCCGAAATTTCATGGCACCTCCTCTTATTTCAGTGCGTCCCCGGCACCCCCGTGGGCCGCGCATATGCCTTTGGCCATGATTTGCGCCCCCCCTTTTTGGAGGCCCCCCTCAAGGCCGCCCCCGAGCAAGTAAGTTCTGCTGGCAGCACGAAGAAGTCTGGCGGGCCAGCCTCGCCCAAGGGCGAGCTGGCGCCTCAGATCCAGCACGCAGGCGGTGCGCGGGCGCGAGGAAGGCAGGCACTTGGAGAGCTGCCCCGCGACAGCGCCGGGCGAGGTGCGACCAGCAGCGAGGAGGGCAGGAGGCAAGACTCCAGCGCGAGGCGCCCCAAGCCAGGCGAAGACAGTGGATTACTGTCAAAGTTGAAATCAGGACGATCGATTTCCCAAGGGTGCCCTTGCATCCTCATCCTTGCCTCTTCGGTCACCTTCGGTCCATCCTCAACCACTTCCCATGGCCAGCCCCGTTCTAGAAGCTTCGGCATGGGAATCCAAGGCCCTTGCATCCTTATCGTGCATTCTTACTATCAGTTTTGACGGTGACGGGCAATCCTAACAACGCATATGGTTCAGCCGTGCTCCCGCTTCTGAGAACGAACAGGTGGCAGAGAGCTCGCTTCCATCCGAACACGTTCCCGAAGCATTGTGGGGAGAACGTCGGTCGAGAAATGCGTTCTCGATGCGACGTACAGGTGGCTCGTGATCAATCAGCTGTTTCACAAGTGGACTTCGATTGACTACGAGACTTTGCAATTATCTGGGGGGTCCTCGCCCCGTGGTGGCACGGCACCCACTTGGGCAAGCCTCGCTCGTCCAGGGAATTTCATATGTTGTGAAGCGCCGAGCTTCTTACTCTAATTCTTCTGTTCGGAAGCGTTTCGCCACAGCGACGAGGCTGCAAAGACAGGAGAGCAAGAAGCGACCATGAGTACATCTCTATTGTTTGGGCCCTCTGGTTCGAGGTCAGCGGCAAGTGGATCATAGGGCTGGAGGACCGCGACTGTGACAGCACTTGTGAGACGGACGGGCTCATCTGCACGGAGGCGAGCTGTTTCTTCGTTGATTGAGTGTGAATGTCGTTGTGCCGCTGTGTTCCGAGTCAGCGTGCCGTTCTGTCGCGCTTGGGTCTCTGTATAATTGTATTCGAGCTGGTGCTTATGAAGATTCGCATTTGCTGTCAGTACTGTCGTTGCCTCCACACCGAAAGGGCCGTGTCGTAAAACGACGATGCTAAACGTTGGTTTGTAGTAAGCTTATTACGAGCAACGGTTCTTTAAATATATTGAACTACCGATATGTACATACGGAATGCGTGCGGGCGTAACGACAGCATGAAAAATGATTTCGGCGTGGTCATGTGCCATTTTCGGACGCGAACTGTTGCATACGACTGGGAGATGTGTTGTAGAGGTTGCCCCATTGTCGAACTCGAGGGTAGAACTTTATGATTCGATCATCTCGAGACGCTTGGTTTGTTTGGGGTATGTCGAAGTTTGAGACAATGGTGCGTTGTAGCGCAGTGCCACAGTCAGAGGGTGCAGGGTTTTTCTGAATGTGGTGGTTTTTCGCAGATGCATTGCTGAGTCAGAAGGTAAGTTGCGCAATCAACAGCCACGAGGTTGAAAGCTGCCGGGCTCTTGTAAGCCATTTGACGGTTCGTCGTGCACGTGCCATATCCAGACGCGGACGTCTTCGTGGTACGACGAAGCAGCCTCGCATCCGGGATGGTGTCGTAATGACCCAGTTGCGAGCTGTTGCCCGTGAAGGCAGAAGCATGTTGCGAGTTGTTGCTTGTTAATCGTCCGTTGCGAGCTGCTGCCCGGGCCAAAAAAAATGCCCCGCAAAACCAATTGGTTAATTGATTTTTTTGATGGTGACACCCTGGCCTCACTAATCTCGGAGTCATGCCAACTATCTCTGGAGTGGCCAAATCCAGGCTTTCAAGAAAGGACAGCAAACTCAGCTCCAAAACGTTGGTAGCCCAAGCCATTCGGAATTCGAACAGACAACGACCCTTGAAAACCCGCTCTGGCATTATTTGTTTCAAACAAAGGTCCTCCGGAGACACACGAACTTAGCCAGTGCGTATGTGGACGTTGAGTCGACAAGTGAATCCCATTCCGCTCAAAAATTGAATGGAATGGACTTCACCGTGACACGGTCGTCAGTCCGAACAGCAGATAAAGGTAGGCTCTGACTCTACGCGCTCAGCAAACGGAGAACAAAAAATAAAAAACAAGCGCCAACAATTTACTCGATTGCAAACCACCCGAGACGGTCCCAGCCACGACGAGCGACAAGCGAATACCCAGGCAAATCTGGATGCAGAATGGATTTGTCAAGCCACGCTGCCGTACAAATCAAAAAGGAAGGGAAGGAAGGAGGCAAGATAAGGTTCGCAAATTCATCTTTGCGCACCTCAAACCTGGATGTTGAAAACAACAATCGTGAGGCTACTCCAGTCTAAGGGCGGCTTGAACCGGGACTCGCCGTGGCCAGCATCCTAAAAGTTGTAACAGAAGAACATTCATGCAGGCTCCGTTGTCCCACGCTCGAAAATCGAAGCGCCCCGGAAAAAGAATATGGACGGCTAAGGCGGCTCGAAAACCGGAGCGCCCCGGAAGAACAGGATGGACGGCCAAGTCGGCTCGAAAAACCGAGCGCCCGAAGTGACGCAAATTACGACTAATGAATTTGCTGCTGACATAATCGCGCTGGCAACGAGAAACTTGCAAACACGACGACGCAATGCATTGAGGCGACGAAAACCTCCTCTTCTGACACGTCCACCCAAAAACCGCTCACAAACCGCTGAACGGAGCAAAAAACGATACGAAATCGTTTTTTAACGACCTCAGGACAGTAATGAACAGTGACCCCACCAATTGCGCTCCTGAGTTAACACGCCCGCGAAAGGGGGCAAGTCCCACACAGCGCTACGCACGGACGGCACCATAGAAGAACGACGATTTGTTCCTCGAGGCAACGCCGGAGGCGCGCGAACGAGGAATGGCGTAACAGTAACGAACAGCATACATGAGACCACAGAACAGAATATTCTCCAAGAGGCGGCAGCAACGCAGCTCTCCGCCGCGTCTGTCATCAGGAGCTTGGAATCAAACGCAACACGCAGGAATCTGATTTTTTGTTCCAACCGGCCGCGGTTTAGAAATCAAATGGACATGTTTTTTGCTAGCATCGAATACCGAGTTGGCGCGACCCCACTCGTGAAGAGAATACTGGCAAGCGCGAAGCTGCGCCCTAGCATCTGCGTTAGACACACCCCAGGAGGGCCGTCCAGGCGTGGAGGTCATCTGCAAAGACGACTTCGTCGAAATCGCACGAACGACTAGCCAGGCATGTGTCGGCGTCAAAGCAGTTCCACATGGGCGGGCCATACACGGTGCCTTGGTATGGCATGTCCTGCATGGTGATCGGCTGAAATGCATGCCCACCGACAACCACCCGACCAACGCGCGCGCCACCAGCTTCGTAGAAGGGAAACAATATTCGCCGGAACGCTGCAAGCCCTGAGCCTACTGAGGAACAGCGCAGGATCAACGTGATCAAATGCTCATGATACATCAGAACAATGCAAAGCAATGAGCCTACCGAAAAACAAAGAACGAACTTAAAATAATATGAAATACAAAATGGCATCCCTGGCTCCGTGTTTGTCCGTAGGCGAACTGAAAAACACCGTAGGTCCCAATCCGTTCTAGACGAGGAATGAACAGGGCCCTCACAGGCCTTTCGACGACTTTCGAGACCTGCGACGTTAATTGCAGTCTCCTGTACATATCAGGATCTCATACTGCCCATCGTTTGAACAATGAGAAGGTCCAGTGCTCACACCAGCTCTCTGGCTATCGTCCGTAGTAAATACAAGACGTTAGAAACATTTGAGATTGGTGAAAGAGATGCGAGTTGGTTTCTGGTCCAGAACGTTCGCTCAAAAATTCTTGAGTGATCCAATACAACCAAGCAGATATCTGAATCCGACAATGTTCTTCTAAATTACTTGACTGCTAATTGAAAAGGATGGAGCGAAAGATCGAAAACTGTATGTCCGCCGATTTTTACGGTCGTCATCGTTCCAATTGGTTTGGCCGATTCCAATTTCGTATATATGTTGTTGGGTGTTCTTGAGCAAGATTTTTTATATAAGAATTCTTGTAGCATGTGCACACAAAAATTCGTATTGGTTGGTTGTTTGCACCGATCATATTTTCCGTCACAAATTTGTTGTATTTATCGTCAAAGGGCGAGCCAGCGTATTTGCACAAGTTTCGCCAATTGTGGCAAGAATTATATATATATAATAATAAAAATAATATTATATATATATATATATATATATATATAAAAAAAAAAAAAAAAAAAAAAAAAAAAAAAAAAAAAAAAAAAAAAAAAAAAAAAAAAAAAAAAAAAAAAAAAAAAAAAAAAAACGAAACCTCGACAATGTAACGAAAAAATACGGCTGCTGAACCTTCACTGCAATGACACCCAACATGTACATTGAAAGGATCTGAAAGAAACCAAATCTAAGAATTGTAAACCAAATCAAACAAACAAATCAAAGCACTACGGCTCGAAATAAACTATCCCGAAAAAACTACTCACGATAAGAAATATCGACTTGTACCCAAATGTCGCATTTGCCTTGAATTAACGCGTATGTAATTATCTTTAAAAAAGGATTTATACATAGAAGGAAGAAGTCTCTATCTTGTAGAGAGAATTCGTTGTTAATAGGTATCTCGATATGTGTCGAAACAAGTAAACGCCAGAGAGGTCGACAGCGATTTCGCTGGATTTTTCTGGTGGCAGCGACACATGAATAGTGTAGTCTGATAGCGACATTCCATAATCTCGTATTGCGTGCATGTAGATTCGATGTTCCGACGTTGCAGAAGACGATTATACAGGCATTTTTTGTTTACGAGCAATGTGCCTTCGGTTTGATTTGCAGGTATTAGAGTTTGAACATACTTTCGAAATGATTAATTCCATATAAATATATGCGACAGTTTCAGAATAATAGAGCACTACATGTCTCTCATTTTTTTACGAGTGAGAGTTTGTAGCGAGGTCCGACAGATATGTTCCGGAAGGGTTGGGAAATTAATTAATTAATACATATGTATATACATAATTATAAGAGTGTGTACGTATATACATAACATTTAGTTGTTTATACAGATATATATATATATATGTATGTATGTATGTATGTGTATATGTTTAGATATGTGTATGTATATATATACATACATACATACATACATACATACATACATACATATGTTCACATGTATATATATATATATACACAGTAATAATAGTCCTAATAATAATAATCATTTATATATAAACAAAATTATTAGAAATACATATATATATATATAATAAAGAAAAAAAAGAAAGAAACAAAAAAAAAGAGAGAGAGAGAGAGAGAGAAAGAGAGAAAGAGAGAAAGAGAAAGAGAGAGAGGAAATGACATGACTTGCAGAATGTTATCACGAAGCAAAAGTTTTAGCCAAAAACTGTCGGTAAGCGATAAATTCTGCGGTTGAAACCATGAGAATAAACATTAAATAATAAATACGGCACATATTGAAAAGTATGTATTGTCAACCAACGCTCTGTCCATGAAACCCTTGTTGCAATTAATTGATGTGAACTCTGCATTCCATATGGAAATACTAGGTAACCAATTTGCCAAACGCTGCGACACGATCACAAACAACAATCGTGGATCCGACAATCAAAATCTTCAAAGCCTTTCGCCACTGCTTTTCCGCATTCGATATTCTAACATAGATATAGACATATTTATCAGAGGTGAGGGGGTGAGATCGAAGTGGAACGGAGAGCCCCCCTACCGGGAAAACGGTTTCGGTTTCGTGCTCGTGCGTGCCGTGCGTGCGGGCGAGGCGATGTTGCGTGGGCGCGCGAGAAATAAGTCTCCTGTAGCTGAGGCGCGACCGGAACAAAAGTCTCCCGGCAACCGGTGCCCCGCGGTGTCTCGCCGGTGTCCAGGTCGGGGGTTGGTGGCACGCGGTGTCCCGCCGGTGTCCCGTTTGTGTCCCGATGATGTTGATGATGATGATGATGATGATGATGATGATGATAATGTTGATGATGTTGACGATGATGACGACGATGAGGATGATGATGATGATGATG